CACATTGGGGATCTATTGTGGACTGACCTGAGCAGAGAGATAACCCTCCCCCCTTCAGATCCGTCTTCGAAAAGTTGGCGGGAGAGGAAGACTTGGAAGACTTCTCTCGCATGGTCCGGAATCGAGAGGCGGAAGAGACGGCATTCATATTATGGAAACTGATGGATGGGCCGACTATGATCGATATTCGTCGAATCGAGGGGAGACAGGGTCGAATCGCGACGATTCTTCATAACGTGTCGTCGCGGAGGAATCGTCTTTCGGGTCGAGAGTTTAACCGTTGGGAAACGCCATCGGGGAAATCTTCCTTCCGTGGAGAGCTTTATTGCCGCGTGATTCTCGATATTATTATTGCACGAGCAATATCCACTCTCCAGGGATTTTTCTACGTTCCTGCAGGTGTTTGTGTGATTATTTCCGCTGTAATTTCTTTTTGTGCGCGCGCGCGCGCGCGTGTGTGCTTGTTAAAATATTTTCATTCGAGAGTAAAAAGGAATTGGAATTCATCTCTATAAGTTTAATAAAGATACATATATTGGTAATTGTTAAAGGAAAAAATAGATTGAATTGAATTATTTAGAAATATATATATATAAGAGTCGTAATAATCTTGAAATTGTAAGATCGTGTTCTATTTACGAGGTGATATATCGTGCCATTAATTTTTTGAATGGGTTATGGCTCTCGAGAGAAAGATTGATTTCCGCGAGAAAGGGAAAGAAATTTTGAAAGGAGTTCCTTCGCGAATCTATGACGATGGTTCTAGATTTGATGCTTTATCCCCGGTGGCGTGTTTATACCGCGATAAAGAGCGGCTTGCTTTTGGGTATCTGGGGCGCACAAATCAAGCCATAATGATCTGCTAAGTCGAACTTGAACGCAGAAGGCAGAAGAGTTCCTTGAGAGAGTCGTTATTTCGGTCAAGGAACAGTATGCTCCTTTCCATCTTCTCTCCTTTCGTAATATAATAAGTTTGAATATACTGATCGGCTACAGGTGTCTAAAAATTTAAGGGGCGCTTATTCGAGCTAAAATGAGACGAGAATATCCCTAGATGCGGCTTATCTATCGCGTAATTTAACTTAAAACTCGATTACGATTCTTATTGAAAATAGGAAAACTTTAAACCGCTGTAACTCCGAAGATAGTGACTTCCGGTTAACGAATCAACGATCGTTAGAAGCGCAGAAGTTTGTACTTTAAAACGCATTTTCATTTATTTTAATACGACTTCTGGTTCCCGAGATATCATCGTGTAAAGAAGAGGATAATTTTTAATCGTTAGAAATACTATTAAAAATTAAGAAAACTTTAAATCGCTGTAACTCTGAAGATAGTGACTTCCGGTTAACGAATCAACGATCGTTAGAAGCGCAGAAGTTTGTACTTTAAAACACATTTTCATTTATTTTAATGCGACTTCTGGTTCCCGAGATATCATCGTGTAAAGAAGAGGATAATTTTTAATCGTTAGAAATACTATTAAAAATTAAGAAAACTTTAAACCGCTGTAACTCCGAAGATAGTGACTTCCGGTTAACGAATCAACGATCGTTAGAAGCGCAGAAGTTTGTACTTTAAAACGCATTTTTATTTATTTTAATACGATTTCTGGTTCCGGAGATTTCATCGTGTAAAGGAAAAGGTAATTTTTACTATCTTCGTTCTTATCGGTTACTCGGATCTTTCGCTCGTACTTTGTCTCATTGATTTATCCCAAACTTCAGACTAGACGCAATTTCAAGAAGCATATACATATGCATTTCTAGGAAAAAATGTAGGTCACTAGATGAAGAACTCGTTCATAATTTTTGCATCGTTTTGACGAAGATTTTAAATCCTGTATCTCGGCAACCGATGGAAATATCGGGATGAAATAAAAAAGGATTTCAATGGCGTAGTTTCCTTTACTTTTTTTTGGGTAAGTTTTGATGAATAAATTTTTTTTTTCACAAAAAATTTTTTTGTAACTGCGTGATTATAATGATGTAAAATATATAGCGATTTAAATATATATAAAATCTGCGATTTTACGTTTGCAATCTTTATAATTTACCGTTAAAAGTCAGAAAGAATTATACGAATTATGTAAAATTATAAAAGTAATAGGGATAATCCAGTATATTCTTCGAAGGGAACACCGATTTCGGATAATCACGTTTAAATAAAGTTAAATCAGGATATCATTTCCTCCATGTAAAATATCTTCATTCCGTTTTGTTCTTTTATAATTACGCTTAAATACTTTCGGGATAGTTATGTCCTTGCTATTGAATTTCAAAGAAGACTGATTGCATTTTCTCCCTAAAAATTGTTACGAACTTCAACGAAATGATATTACCATGCTAGAAATACAAAAATTTTAATTATTCTCCGCCGATCGAATTTTATCGCAAAAATGCATAATTCATTATACGTAAAATCCAGAATTTTCACGGTATTATAAATTTCAAAATATTTAATTTTATTTTTGTGCGACCGCTATTAAAATGGGTCGTTGTAATTAAACGTACCGTGAATTGTGGGAATATCGATAGATTTTTAAAAATATTTTACTAAATAAATTAAATATTTTACAAATTCGAAGATACACAAAATTATTATATCTTTTTAAATATATATCACTCATTGTACTAATTAAAATTAATTTTCCTTCTTTCTCTCGGTAAACGATACAATATAGATCCGATCGGAAATGTTTCATATCCTATCCCAACAAACAACATTATCAATCCACTACGCAAAAAGCGATTAATTATCGTTCGTAATGAAACCAGGAGTGGCTAGACATGCTCCATTGTACAACACTTACTACGTTGGTACGATAAAATGACTGGAACCATTCTAAAGCATTTCAAATTCCCGCGCAAGACGTTGGGTAATTACCGACCGCGCATAGACAATAGGGAATTTAAAGTCGTTGTGCAAAAGTAACTAGACTTGTCGGTACGCATCAGTCTTCGTTATGCAATCGTATCGCGCCTTCCTGTTCCATCCTCGCGCTATTCTCTCTCACTTTAATCGCTAAAATTTTAATTATCCTTGCGAAACCGAGTTATGCATGATCGTATCATCAACGTCTCGTGATGTAACCGAAATATAGGTTATGTACGTGTCGACGACCGATAAGAAAGACGAAATGAGAAAGACACGTTTATGGAACGATTCAAGAGAAAATTTTATAATAAATTTGTGGTGGAGAGAATGGATTACGTGATATTCTTGTAATTGTTTTGGCACGATTTTATATCTGAGAAATATAGGACAAAATAGAATTTGAATAATATTTTTTAAAATAAAGCGAGGAGATAAATAATTCACTTGGAAAATATATTCAACGAAAGAATAGATAAAAATAGGAAAGATTTTGAAGATCTCTTTCAAAATCTACTCAAATATTTAAAAATTCATATTTGCAATGGACAAATACAAAGAAAATTAATCTCGAAATAGGCCAAGAGCCGAGATACTCAAATTGCATTTCTGAGAGTCACGAGTGCCACACAGCAGACAGATCCATGCGATTAAATTCCCAAAGATCCAATTTAACTTCGAGGCCGTGGAAATTTATTTCCACAGGAATTATAAGGCGAATCTCTCGATAAATCCGAAAAATTTCGGTTGTATCATCGCTGGTTGATATCCAGACACCTGGTTTGTCATTTAATTTAGATTAAAAATAATTCCGCCCATTCACCTGCGACCTCGCCGTGCATCTAACTACCTAACTTCTTAATTAGTACACGGAATAGCATCGCTGGTGGATCGGCTCGCTCCATTCGGTTACGTAAATTTCTTGGAATATTTGGAATAGAATTTCCTACGATAGTCTAAATTGTGAGATCGGAATATAATCAAGAGTTCGAATGAAATGTTGCCAAATCGCTTTTAATTTCTCATTTGGTGGAATAGATTCGAGACTAGGGGAAAAATTTTTTTGAATTTAAATCATTGGAACGGAATACTTGTAATACAGAATGATCACTCTCCGTTTTGAATTATTCTTCTTTTTCTATTTTGCACGAGGATTGTCCAGATCACAATACGAATCTCAATTATAATATCAATTTTTTGAAATGGTAATTTTTTTTTTTTTTTTTCATTAGAATCTTAATTTCATTAGAATGAAATATATATGACGAGTGGAATAATTTCTGTATTGTAAAATTTTTCGACTTGGAAAAATTCTATTTTCTAAATTCTTCAATTTTATGGAATCGTTATCGATCATCACACTCGTTGAATTGATTCGAAATTCAATGCTTTCTTAAAATTTTAATATAATAAATATAATATATTCCTATATCTTGAAATCCATTATAATGTATATATCTACCAACACATATAAATATTAATGATTTGAATATTGCATGAATAAATAAATGCAAAAATACTAATTCATTAAATCCTAATGATATTATTCTTATTATAAATCCTAATTGACTTAATGTTGAATAAGCAACAACTTTTTTTAAATCTAATTCAAAATTTGCTTAAGTTAAACCAGCAAATAATATTGTTATTCTAAAAATTAATAAAATAATTCTTTTAAATTCATAATTTAATAAATCTGCATAACGAATTAATAAATAAATCCCAACTGTTACTAAACTTGAAGAGTGAACTAATGATGAAACTAGTATTGGAGCTATTATTATTGCTATTGGTAATCAAGTTGAAAAAGGAATTTGAACTCTTTTAGTAAAGACTTATTAATAATAAAAAAAATCATTATATATTCATTTATTCTATATAATATTAAATTTCATCTTCCAAAACAAGCTGCAAAACATATTATTAATAATAATCCTGAGGTAAAAGATTTTATTTTTATTTTAATTTTAATTTTAATTTATTTTTATTTTAATAAACTACTAAACAAAATGAAATCAATCCTAATCCATCTCATCCTAATTTATAATAACTCCAAATTTTCTCTTAACCAATTTATAAATTCTCACGACAACATATATATTAATTTCTCCAAATTTTTCTCACAGTGTCCATCCACTGCAAATATTGCTCGAATATCGAGGGAAGAAAAATGGAAATTTTCGAGCGTGCGGCAACCAAAGGTACATCCATCCCTCCTCCCTTAGCAGGGAGGAGTGCTCAACGTGCTCCTATCCCAGAAGAAGGGATCAAGAGGGCAAACGTCGGCGCTTGGGTGCATGCATCCCTGTTATGCAAGCAGATATTATACCCCGGCCGAGAGATCGATCTTACAAACCCTCCCCCTCCCCCCCCTTTCTCCTTCCCCCAATTGCATTCGCAGACAATACACACCATCCAACCCCCCCCCCCTTCTCTCTTCCCTCGACCTTTCTTATCTCCATCTATTGAACCGAAGCAGGAGGAACGATGTAATTTATCCCGCGTATTTGATGAAAACCGCTTAAAACCGCTCTTAAACTCAGGTTTAAATCATTTTCGAGGTTGAGAAAATGCACAATTTCCCTCTCCTTTCTCTTTCTCTCTCCAGGCGGCGTTATCAGTTATAGTCAGTTTAATCGGCGACCACTCTTTCCTTTCTCGGCCCTCCATTGTCTTCTTCGTTGCATTCGACGGAAGGAACGGAACCGGATCCACCCCCCACCCCCGTTCGTTTCCNAAAAACAAAACTACGAAAAAACATGTAAAATAAACAGCTCATAAATAAACAATTAGGTAAAAAAAAAAGAAAATATAACAAATTCTTCCTTAGTTTTTTTTCTCTCTCTCTTGTTTTTACACAATTTTAATTCGATTCTATGTTCCCGCCAAACATTTTAAATAATTCAATTTTCTTTTTTCTTCATTTTTCATCATCAATTAGTACGCGCATATTTTAAGAATAACTAATTAATAAATTTCAATTTTTGTCAAATTTGCCACGTTTGCTTACGCATACACATTAGTACGGCACGATTCACGCGAATATTTCCTTTCATTCCATCTTTTTCGTTTGCACGCTTTCCACTAATTATTCTCTCTCTCTCTCTCTCTCTCTCTCTTATTCCATTTTTCGCTTTTCGATCGATTGCTGTTCAGGAGAGAAGAGGGGAGGATGAGGAATATAATATTTTTAAAGCTTTATATCGAATGTACGATTGAGGTAATGATTTAATTTTTTATAATTTAGATTATCGTTTTTATCCCTTTTTCGAAATTTATTATTTGTTTATATATGGAATAATTGGAGGAAGAGTAAATTATATATAATAATATATATATAATATATATATAAATAATAATATAAATAATATATATATATAATTAAATAAATAAATTATATATAATAATATATATAATAATATATATATAAATTATATATATAATAATATTCAGAAATATTGTTTGTTTATCGCATATCAAATAGCTGTAATTTTTTTTTTCTTTCTAGTAAAATCCAAGGAAAAAGGTTAAAAAGAACGCGAGATTCGAACAAGAGGTTGGGAGATAGTGAGTTGAAAGTCTTTCATCCGCGAGCAGCTCGTTGTTTGATGCATCGATTTCTGGTCGGAAGGAAGGGAGGCCCGAGAGAAAACTTTTTCCCCCTTTCGAGTGCACGGATCTTTGGATTATTTACCGATACAAAACGCACCTCTTTATCCCGAGTGAAGATTGTTTACGATTGGAAGTTGTGAGCTCAAAGCGGATACGGATAAATCTAGAGAAGAACTCTGATCGGTGAAATTCGATCGAAAGAGATTTTAATTAATTAATTCTAAATAAATAAAATTTTTCTCTATTTATCCTATCTATCAGTCTTCCCTTCGTTCGAATATTCTTTGCAAAAAAAAAAAAGAAAAGAAAAATTTTTATTTCAGATTTTTCATCTCTCTCTCTCTCTCTTTTTTAAATCCTTAACACTTAAGAGAATTAAATTTAAATTTAATAAAAATCTGATCTATATACCTAACCTAATATCCTCTCCATGGTTTTCTCTGAAATTATTATTATTATATTCCAGGTGCATTAAAAAATTATTCAAAATCACCACTTCGAATAATTTGAAATAATGTGCGGGACAAAGGGTTGGTGGCTGTATAATCTTGGCTGCTGGTAGATGGTTGAAAAATTCGAAGAAGAATTGGACGACGAGTGGATCAACGAAAGGATTTTGCGAAAGAAAAAAAAAAAAAAAAAAAAAAAAANAAAAAAAAAAAAAAAAAAAAAAAAAAAGAAAGAAAGAAAGAAAAAAAAAGAAAAGAAATTCGGCATCGTGCCCACGAAGGAAATTGCAGTGTCACGTTTTGCAAAAATGCCACGCTGTGGAACCTGTTCTCCTGGATTAGTTCCAGATTCGGTGAATATTAAATTGTCGGAGAGCGAAAACTTCGTTCCATTCACTTTTGTAAATCCATAGAGATTCGAGTGCAAATTCGATGATGAAAGGAAGATAAAGAAGAAGAGGAAAAAAAAAGAGAGAGAGAATATCTTTCTCTTTCTCTTCGAATAATAATATTATTAGTAAAACTCATCCATTATTCGAATTAACTCTATCGTTCTATAATAACGAACGAGATATCTCTCTCTTTCTCGTATTTATTCAATCGTAAATGTGGCTATACGAGAAAGATAATTCGAAACATTTTTGTTAAAATGCTCAATGAAGAAAAGTAGAAATTTACCATGTAATTTAATATCGAATATTAAAGATGTTCGATATTTTCTGCGATATTCTCAAGGTACGTTGTTTCCAGATATGAAAAGCGCGCTTCATCGGAAGGACGGATAATTAAAAATTAATTTCGACGAGAAAGAGAGAGAGAGAAGGAAATATCCATCGAATTCATTTCTCTCTCCTCTTAAATAATAGAACTTATCGAATGGAATTAACACTAATTAACGTAATGTCGGAGCGGATGTTAAAAAGATCTTCTGTCTTTCGATTGTCGGAAGAAATCATAAAAGTACCAGGTGGAACCATGGAGGAAATTGCAGTGCGACGTTTAATAATAATAATTCCAGCAGTCGCCTTTAATCTGGATTGGTTCCAACTTCTTCGAATATTAAGCCGCGCGAATAAAACAACGAAATCACCTTTCACTCGCGCGAACTTCTCGCCATCTACATTCCACATTTTCTTCTTTTCTTCCATTCTCTTTCTCTCTCTCTCTTCTTTCTTTCTCCACTTCCCCTCCTTCCTTCCCCGCTCCCTTCTTTTCTTTTCGGTTTCAGCGAACTCTCATGCGCGACTCCCCGTTAAGAGAGATTAAAATTTCCCGCCTTTCTTTTCCCGCACCGACTCTGCTCACCTGTTTCGTTCGTTCTCTTTTTTTATCTTGATGTTTCCCGATGTTGATGAAAAATTTTACGAATATATATATATATATATTTCTTCTTTCGATTTTTCTGGAATTCACATACACGAATTAATCACGTGAATTCTCGTGAATTTGTTTTAATCTTGGCGTCAGATTATAATGATAAAACAATATAGCTGTTTTAGAAAATATCGATATTATTTTATTATTTTATTCAATTTCCATAAATTGGACGTGATCACCCGAAGAGTGAGACTTTTTCAGAAATTATTAAATAATTATTATTATAATTAAATTATTGAATAATTATGATATTCGTCTCTCTCTCTCTCTCTCTCTCTCTCGTGCATAATTCTATAATTTAAAAAGAAAAAAGAATGTGTTCACAATTCCATAAATTCGTCAAATGATAATCCGTCTCGTGTCTCGTGCAATTCGTTGTCTGAAAATCATCGGTAACGTTGTAAACTAATTATCCAACGTGTGGAAAGGAAAATTAAATTTATATAAATTAATGGGCGAGATAAACAGAGGTTAGGAGGATGATGTTAACGAGAGAAACAGTTAATCAATCTCGTTCCAGCTCCTGTCACGCTTTTTCCACCCGAAAGTTTAGAAGCGAGCATTGAACTTGCAACGAAGGATCGCTCGGAGCTGCTCCATAATTGGGTCTCGAGAAACCTGTTTTCTCCTTTAGTCTCCACTCGACGCCCCAAGAATCCGTAGTATTACTACTCTTGAAACCGGGTTTTCCTCCCGCCTTCCACTCTCCCAACAATCTTGTTCCCTCCTATTTCCACTCAAATATAAATTCCATGCCGCGATGCCGCGATTTCCTCGGCTTTGATTCAATTTTTTTCTTATCGCGAGTCGAGGATTACCGTTATTGCTGCGCTCTTCGATTATTTGGGTTAATTGGTTGGATCGATTCGAGAATCGAACTCGAGAATTTAGGATTATCGGCCGAGTGAAATTATCGAGCGAGTTGGAAAAATCGAAGAAAGAAATGAACGGATCGTTCTGAGTTAAGATTTTTTTTTTTTTTTTTAAGATTTATTCAATATTTTTCGACTGTGATATAAATTTAATCTTTGATTATAGTACACTGGGTCAAGAGGTGGATCCAGTTCGATATTTAATGAGCTGCAGTTCGAAAAATAGAAGTGGAAGTAAATTCTAGCAGTGGAAAAAAATTTCGAATTATGAAATTTCCTCAATTTCTTCGATATAAATTTAAGTTTTGCAATGATATCGAACAAAATTTTTGAATTTTATTGCAGAATATTTTTTTTTTAACGATTTTCGAGTTCTAAAAATTTGTTCAGACTTGTGACAATAGTAGAGTTAATTAATTTTAATAATACCATTGATTTTTAAAAAGTATTTAATCATCTTCGAGTTAGATGGGTCAAAAGAGCACCGTTGCGGACATTAATATCGGCAGCGGTAATTAGACGTGATTAATTAATCATCGTTATCAATGATGCTGTGAGAGAATAGCAGGAAGAATTGTCAATCGATTAATTGATTCGTTTCCGATACTCGATCCTTTAATATCTCGTAATTAAAGACACGAGTGTCATAAATTGTTATTCGTAGTACTTTACGTTCACGCACTTTTCGCTAATTAATTTCCTCTACGTTCTTCTAATGAATAATCCAATATCGGAATTTCGAAAAGTCTAAAAACGGCCGAAAATTATTCGAAATTAAAATCAAGTGTGTGATAATCGAACAGCACGAGATACATGATAACTCGTTTTTTTTATTATTAATAAAATAAGAGATTAAAAATCTATAATCCAAAATAAAAGATAAATCGATATAATTTTCAAGATAAATCACGAAACGATAAAATAAAAAGATTTTTTTTTATTTATAATTATGTAAATACCGCAAGGGGGACCGACGTGTTCCAGGAATCTTATTTCAGGTTCCTGGACACGCTTTCGTGAGTCCTTTGGGTGGTGGCGTACCCACGGACCTGAAGCCAAACGAAGATCAATTTTTTTAAATATATTTTTTAAGAAAAAAATAAAATTATGTGAAATATGAAAAAAATAAAATTATTAATTCGTATTTGATATATATAAATATTGGAGATATTTGAAAATCTCGGATTGATGAATGTACATTATAAAAATCTAACATAACCTAACTTATCAATATAACTGAATAAAACACTCTTTTCAGCATATCGTGTCGAATTTTTTTTATGACAAAGATAGTTATAACGAAATTTAATATAATCTAATTCAATCAATATTATTAAATAAAATAAAAGATGTTCTGGAATCGCATCATATTTGTTTTACTACGAAGATAATCGCAACGAAAAAGTTAATGATCTAGAGAAAAGATGATTAATGAAGATTGATGAGCTCGTTCTCAGAACCGATCGTGCAAACAAGTTTGATGGTCACACAGTGCAACAATTCCGAAAACAGTAATATCTCAAACGAGATTTATTCGGTCTCGTTACTGTGACTTTACCATCAATGAGGCTTTGAAGTGGATACGTAAACGCTTTTAGAAATTAGGGCCATTGTGAACTGAGAATTCCATACTGTGCAATATATAAATGTTATTAGACACTCGATGTCAAGAGCAATTCTAATATTTACGAAGCTTTCGGTCTGATCTTTAATCAACGTGATCCATTCGATCGTTTCTATGTTTCAGGTATAGAGATTACAAGAACAAACAATATTGCTTCGTGAAAATCTCTACATATCGACGTTCGTCGATAACCTCTTAATTTTTATGCGTTTCGAAATTTTATTATAGCAAAATCTTTATCAGAATTTTTATGGATACTTTTTTTTTCAAAAATTGTTTAATTAATCTACGTGATAGATGATAGAATTTTTGAATATTTATAATATATATTTTATAATAAAATTGATACTAAATACCTTGTTTTTATAATACATTGTTATACACATAAAAATGTTGATCAAGTTTCCGAATATGTCCAAAACTCTGAACACTGTGTCTTCTTATTTACCGTACGTAATGTAAAAATTGTGCAGCATCCAAATCCCGATAATAAAGACAGCGCAGTGCACCCAACACGAAACTTCTTTAAAAAAACCTCTCTCTTCTAAAACACTGTTACCACCATCGAGTTTGCCAACACGTCTCCACCAGACAAACTGTTAACACTCATCACAGCAATCTTAATGGCCTGGCTTCTACCAATTACCCTTGTTCCTGTTTCACAGTTGTTTTATTCTCGCGAAATGAGGCAGTGTTCGGCCGAGCATTCGGAGACAAACGGCCACCACTGAGAAAATAAGAGACATAGAAAAACTCAGAGAAAGAAAGAAGACATAGAAAAAGATATAGATAGAAGCAGAGAGGAAGACAGAAAGAGACAGGAAAACAGAGAAAGAGAGAGATAAAGGTATAGAGAGAGGGAGAGAAGCAAGAGAGAGAAAGAGAAGACAAGGAAAAAAAAGAGAGATAAAAATAGAGATGGCGAGAGAAAGAATCGCGAAACACGGAATTGCGGCCGACGAAAAGATTTAATTGCGAGGAAACAGAGTAACTGGAGTGTGCTAAAAGGCTTCCGAAGTGCGCGTAACTACGTTAAACAAGCGGGAACCCGCACGCAGAACGGGACGATGTTCGTTTTATTCCCATCATAAACCGGCCCCAAACATAAAAATCTCCGCGCTATGTCGGGAACAATGGC